AGTATCGTCATGTTGCAAGAGTCAAACATGTTTGACAATTGTCTGCAATCGTAACGTCAAGGTTTGAGTAAGTCACAGTTAAAGTCACCCATGATCAAGACACGACTGTAGCCTGGCATGAAGCGCAAGAGAGTATTTTCAAAGTCGGCCAAATGCCCCACTCCCGGAGGGCGGTAACATGTCCCCAGGAGAAGAGCATCCGAACCACACAAACGAATTTCCAAAAAAATGAATTTGGGTTTAGCAGAGTACTCACCCGGGGACTCATACAACTGCCTGGCTTGCAAACCGTCCTTTACATAAACGGCAACGCCGCCACCTGTTTTTCCTAAGCGATCGTTTCTGAAAACGGAATAGCCAGGCAGTGCGATCAACCCAGGCGAGGGAGACCATGGATAACTGAAAGCCAATATGGCATAAACATAATACCCATAAAAACACCTAATACTGTATAAAATGGATGGTAATGTGATAAATAATTTGCATTTTACATAATTAAAATACAAAAAATAGTATTGCACAATCGTGATTGTTATGTCATTAACAATAATAAAAACTGCTAACGTTTAACATTTAAAATCACGCTCACTCAAGCAAAACAAAAATTACACAACACTGTACGTACAGCAATAAATGACGTAAAAAAACTGAACAATAGACAGTCTAGCACTGTACTGCAAGCTACTGCTACCGTAGTCAGCATAGGCTACTACTACACGTTGTTTCAGAAAATTAGACATAAGAATGTCTATAAAAACATTAGATAACTCATAAAACTGCATAAAATCATAGTAATTAGTCTTAAAGATAATAACAACAGTTGTAAAATAGGATAAAGATAACAATGGATGACGTTCTTTCTCATCTATAATATTAAAACAAAACAGTGTTTTTTTATTTCACGATTCTGAATCAACCACTCGACGGATTTTCATGATTTTTGTGTTGAAAGAAAGATAATTTTGAGAACTAGGGAATGTCGGAGCCATAATTTTAGTTTAAGGTCCCAGTTTTTTAGAAATTACGTTTTAATTTTTTTTAAGTCTAGCAGCCGACGGAAGAGTTAAAGTCGTTTTAGTGGTGGTTTAACTAACAGCTGGTTTCTAACTGTCATTGAAATGTTTATGTTACAAGTTGTTTGTATACAAAAATATTGATTCAGAGTTTGCCTACACACTATTTCACTTTAAAATGCAGTTTATTACCTACCGTAAAAGATCTATGTTATCAGGAGATTGTGTAATTTTGAATTAAACATTTTAAACGTATAATCAAGTTTTGTCATAAATGCAATCCGTCTAATCCTTTAAGATATAAGTGGTTTACGTGTTGATACATCTTTTTCTAAATGTTTGAATATAAGTATGACTGCATACAGTACACATGAAAATGTCAACCGGTGTAGTAGGTCTCCAGAAAACTGACCAGTAAGCTGCAGGGTGTCAGTAGAACCCAAAATCGATTCATACCATATCATAACTATCCCAGTAGTACTGTATGATTCAGAAACTTGATAAAGGGGTACATTCCAAAAGGCTCAGATCTCGGATGGGCTAGGCAGGCTTTGCATGGCGGAGAGAAGATACTTAAACTTTTAAAGGTATCTTCCTTAGAAATGGCAGGGGATAGAAGAGAACGGGAGGCCAGGATCATTTTAGAGGTTTCAGTGGCCAAGGTGGTAATATAAGGTACAGTAAGTGATAGTAGGCCTATGCAGTGGAAGGTGGTATGTAGCTACTGTACTCAAAGCCAGTGTGTGTGAATCGGTCACCAAGTTGTAAACTAGCTGTTCTGAATCATATAGTTTTAATGGACTACTCGATTCCCGTACGTAGGACGGGCCAAACTGCTCATTGTTATTATAATCTTTCTTTGGTTTCTCTTCATCCACACATACAACAAGTTGCCATGGTTACTATTCACCCAATCACAAACTGTAATGAGATAGCAAAAGCGCACAGTAGACTGTTGTGTAAGGAGCAGACGATTGTCAGAGCAAGCTAATAGCTTGACCTTGAAGCTAACTATGGCTATTTTTTCTTTGTTTTGCTTTTGATTTTTGTCAAATAAACCATTGTGTTTCAAAAACAATAATGGGGGAACCTACTGCATATAAAAAATGGCCATAAATATTTAATTTTATAGTGCTTTCAACATATTAGAGTATCCTACTTGTAAAAAATCGTCCAGTTATTATTTTATTACAAACTAAGAAATCTTTTTCATTTGTAAAATGAGATTCCATTTTTTTGTAAAAACAATATTTTGTCAGACTGGTTTAAAAACAACTGTTTTTGACACATGCGTTGATATTCAAAAGTTCTTCTTTTTAGTCTTTTACTAAAAATATCATTGTTGATGATACTTTTGATTCAAGGTCGTCATAATTAGATTAAAATGTGTTTGGTTATAAATAATCGAAACATTCATTGTTGTGTTGTATTGCTATTATTTTTGTGTTTGTTTCCTGTAGACGGTGAGGTGAGGGACAATTGTGAGTGACATGATGGATGAAATTAGTAGGCCTAAGGATTTGTATCGAAATATAATGGAAAAAGCCCAAGAAAATAGTTTATAGTACTGGTGTACGTTTCTATTGTTAAGTGCGTTATGTACAGGGTTTTCATAAAATAATAGTGGGGTTTAGTTATGAAATAAAAAGAAAATGAGAAAAGATAAAAACAATTTATTTTGTTGAATAACTGACATCAAAAAGATTTTAAATACATATAGCCAATAAGCTTCAACATGTCAACCATTTTTTGCTCTACGGTCGACCAGAGTATGATTATTTCAGCCCACATGAGCAATATTTCTCTTGTTACAATGGAGACTGCATCTCTGGTTCTTTCTAGTAGATGTGCTAAATTTCAAGTTTTGTTGGAATAAACTATGTTTTTGACATCATAAAATGACCGTTATACTAGAGTGACTGACTTTAGTTCACTTAGCTACACACTTAGCCTTTTCTTGACGGAAAACATGTTTAAAAGAAAATACAACTCAAAGTTTAGTTAAAAGAATAAGTACTTAGGTTGTCGATTAGAACAACAATCAACACAGCTGTTTCAATCAATGTAAACAAAACTGTTTGAGCTACCGTATGCAGGGGTATTAATATGAAATATTTGTCTTATAATAGTTTTACAGACAGTTAAACCTCACCAATTTTTTTATGAAACCCCTGTTTTTACTAAAAATAGTTAAGAGAACACAAGGCTTTTTATTTATTTACATACACAAATAAATAATAACAGGAATACTGTAAGGCAAAATATTTCAACTACGGAGTTAAAATATTTTGCCTTACAGTCATTCCCTCCTAGACTAGCAACTTACAATCCATTCATATTTTTCATATAATACCCTTTTTACTGTTAATGTTTTCTAGGCTAAAAAGTCGTAAAAAGGGAAACTTAACAATATCAACATGCGGCGTTTTCAAGGTTATTTTTCTCACGTAAACGTTTTGAGCGTTGTGATTTATTTTTACGTGAGAAAAATAACCTTGTAAACGCCGCCGGATGTTGATATTGGTGCGGCGAAATGTCGGAGTTAGAGAACTTAAGTCTGTGATTTAATTTTTATTTTTGCATTTTTTATTAATGTGTGTGTACAATGAACTGTCATGACAAGGACTGTGTTCTCCTGGTTCCGATAAGGTGAGTGATGTCCAAAAATACATATCCAACTGAATGTTTGTTTACGTTTATTAGAACAAACATTTATTTTCCAAATCTGAGTGTTTTGTTTTTACTTCATCCATGGTGACCAACATAGTTAATCTGTGCTTTCTACGATAAATAACTCCATCGATGAAATCAGATTATTCACTTTAAAGAAATCTAAACAAGAACAAGTCAAAAGTAAGTACCACATGGACTCTTTAAGCTTTTATATTTCTTTACTAGCAGCTACCCGGCATGCGTTGCTGCGCTTAACAACTATTATTTTAAATGGTAATTTGTTCTTTACAATGAATAATAAAAGTCTATACCAAATATAAAAATATAATATTTTACTTAATTGCCAGTGGATAAACAATGTTTTTGTTTTTTCTTTAGGTGTATAAATATATTATTATCCATTATCCAAGATAGGTTGTAGCTCACTTGGGCACCTACACTATCAAAGCGAAGTTGGCTGACTCCGGTCAAACTGTCACACTACGCAATAGTCTGTAGTCCTCTCAAACTGACTAAGAAGGAATTTCCCTTAAAAGTTACCTTTTCACAGCTTTAATTAAGGAACATGACCACAAAGTTTCGGGAGAAAGTTTGGAAACACCCATATACTAGCCGACCCGTGCAAAGCATTTGCACTGAATTGTTTTAAAATCCCACTTATTGAGGTACAAAACATGCATACAGTTAATTCTGAGTAGTAAGTGCATTGTTGATTTAAGTATGGGTCCTTGCTTCAGAAATAGATGTTGGCCTACATAGATAATTAACCTTTTCAACAAAATTTTAAGTTATTTACGTTTTTACATGTTTACAGGATTTATTTTACCTTCTTAAATTTCCTAATTTAATATAGTATACAAAAAGTTAAAGTTTTCGAGATATTTAGGAAAAACCTAAAAATGGCACCTAGAATCCAAGATGGCGGCCATTTTCCGACCCCCCACCATGGGTTTTTTGTTGTTGTTTAAAATAGACACCTAGGAGGGCATTTTAAAGCAATTTCCAGAACTATAAGATTTTTTCATTTTTTAAGGCATTAAATGACTGTGCTGATAGGTGAAAAAGCCATGCCTGAGACAAAAGAGGATCAACTTTTTTTGATTTTGAATACAAACAAATTGTGTTATGTATGTTCTATGACTCTATTCTAAAAATGTTGTATTTTTTTTTTTTTTTTAACAAATTCTACTCAATTTTTTTCCTACTATAAGTAGGAAATTCTTATGCAATTGGAGATTTAATCAGACTTTTACTTGCAATTTTGGTAACAGTTAATACCGCTTAATTTTTACCCTTTCCACGATGCTGTCTTACCTTAAAGGTTTAAGTGGAAATTCAATATCAGGAGGCAATGTGATAGCAATTCCTTGCAGGTTGTTGGTCAAAGTCACAGTTGGAACCTGGCGTCTCACTGCTCGACCTTTGGCACTCATCTTCACTGGCTTACTCTCTTGTTTGCGTAGCAATCGCTCCATTGTCTTTTTCTGTAACATGTTAGGTACCAAATTTTAACGGGGATAAAAACGTAACTGCTATTCAACAAACACCGTAACTTACCAGTTTTCATCCACAATTGGCCATAGCTTCGGCTATGGGCCAAAGAACGTAGGCCTATTTTTAATCACAGTAAAGTATGTTGACAACTCATCTAGTCTGGATTAGTAATGGACCATCATATGTTTTTACATTTTACATATGCAGTTGTTTTACAAAATATAATTCAGTGTTATGTTGTGTTTGTAAGAAAATAAAAGAGTTTATAACAATTTATTCTTTCATTAACTTTAATTTCACCAATAAAGGTTATGGGCCATTTGGAATAATAAAATAATCATTTTACAGTATTCTGTGCTTAAAAATAAGTAAAATGAGTTTTGGCTATAGAATTGAACCTTTGAAACAAAATAATTAATAATTCTAATAATTCACAGTGTTCTGTGTGTGCGACGGTAGAACAAACAAAAAAGATCAAATATTTGGATTTAATCTTGGATCAAGAATTAAATTGGAAATGTCACATAGAGCAGTTAAAGAATAAATTAAATAGCTATTTAAGATATTTTTATTTCCCAAGAAATTTATGTCCAGAAAATGTTTTAGGAATGCTATATTTCTCTCTGGTACATAGCAGAATTGACTATGGTTTATTCTGCTGGGGAGGGGCGTATGAAACCAACTTGAAATCTGTGTTCAAACTGCAAAAACATTTTGTCAGAATGATTAAAAGTAAGGGCAAGATGGAACCATCTCGACCATTATTTGTTAATTTAAAAATCCTTCCTCTTAAATATATGTTTGTTTTTAAGGTGTTAAGAATTTTCTATGTTATAAGTGGTACTGAACCTATAATACATAACTTGTTCAAGGACAAGTTAAGAGGTAAGCAAAAAGTAGTAGTACCCAAACCTAATTCAGTATTTTTTACAAATTGTTACAAATTCTTAGGTCCAAAAATGTTAAATGTTATTCCTGAAGTATTAACACAATGTAAAAGTTTAAGTTTGTTTTCTAAACGATTGAAAATATGGCTTTTATTCAATGAAAATATCGATTTTCTTTTAAAAATCCAAGCATAATATTTTATTTTTTATATAATTATAATACGGACAGAAATGTTGTTATTTAATTAAAAATTGAAAAAGTGTTATTGTGTTGTGGCGTTCTATTTAGAAATATTATTGGTACTGTGTTTCATGTTTATTAATATGTTAGTACTTTCGCTCTGACTCTTTATTATGATGTTAATTTTAAATGATGGAACCTCTATACAGGCTTTCCTTCAGAGGTCCTATATTTCCAGGATGCTAGTATTATAATAAAATGTTAATTATACTCGTTGTATTAGTTGTACATTTTTAACTGTTGTACATTCAAAACTGTTATCTGTAGCATTTTTGGAAATAAAGTCTATTCTACTCTATTCTAAAATTATGACACTTGGAAAATTCAAGCTGAAGCTATCCAACAAAACCTAATGGATTATGTATCTGGGGAGAACAAATGTCCTGAGGATGAAGTTGGTAAGAATGCCTGGATAGTTAAAGATCTTAAAGCAAAATCAGAACTAATATTGATAATTTCACCTAGTGAATTGAAATTAGTAAAAAACTGCAAAACTTCCAAAGAAGTATGGGATTGCCTGCAGAACAATTACCAAAGTTCTGGTCCTGCAAGGAAAGCCACATTATTAAAGCAGTTAATAGTTCATAAAATGAAAGATGGAGAAGATGCTAGGGATAATGTCAACAAATTTATGGAGATTGTTGACAAACTTCAAGAAATGGACATCATTATCAATTCAGACTTACTTAGCATTATGCTACTTTACAGCTTATCATCATCATTTGAAAATTTCCGGGTAGCAATTGAGTCTAGAGACACTTTACCTTCTCCTAATGATTTAAAAATAAAAGTAATTGAGGAGAGTGAAGCTAGGTCAAAAGACACTTGTACGAATAATGAAGATACATTGTATTGCAAAACAAAGCAGTTCAACTCCAAGAAAGGTATTCACAACACTTATAGTCATAAGAAACAAGATGAGAACAACACTACAAAAGTAGGTTTCAAAGTTATATGTTTTAGATGTGGAAAAATAGGACACAAAGCCAAATATTTTGTTGAATATTGTATTAACATAACTGTAGATCCAAACAAATGGGAGATAGTTTCAAAGCAGAGGCTGAATGTTTCTCTTCAAATTTGAACATTTTAGGTTCTACTTCATCTGATTGGTGTATTGATAGTGGATGTACATCGCACATGTGTGGAGAGAAATCACAGTTCAGAGATATCAAAAATTCAAACGGAATTTTGGAACTTGCTTCTAAAGGAAAGACATCTGACGTTTCTGGAACAGGAACGGTTTCGCTGGAATTAAAAAATTCTGAAATCATACATTTGAATAACACTCTGTTTGTACCAGACTTGGCAACAAATCTAATGAGTGTCAGTAAAATAACAGATAAAGGATTTAAAGTGATTTTTGAAAAAGAGAAAGCTGTCGTCCAAAACCAAAGAGGAAATGTAATTGTGGCAGCAGAACGCCAGGGTGGTCTTTATCATGTCAAAAGGACAAAATCTGTAATGGTAAATGAAAAATCAAACTATACAAAAGAACCTGAGATCATAGATTGGCATAAGAAGTTAGGTCATCTAAACGAGGTTGACTTAAAAACAGCTTTAAAAAATGAATCTTTGAATGGATTAACCTTCAACATGAAAGACAAAATTGGAGAATGTGAAACGTGTATTAAAGGAAAATTGACACAAACACCATTTCAATCAAGAAAGATTGCAAATAATGTAGGCTTATTAGAAGTCATACATTCTGACATTGTAGGTCCTATGAAAGTAACTACACCTGGAGGAAATAAGTATTTTGGAACATTCATTGATGAACATTCAAGATACTGCTATGTATATTTTTTGAAAAGTAAAGACAAAATTTTTGAACGTTTCAAAGAATATAAATATGAGGTGGAAAATCAAACAGGAAATAAAATCAAGTTTCTGCAAACAGATAACGGCAAAGAATATTGTAATGGTGAATTTGACAAGTTCTTGAAAGAAAGTGGTATAAGGCGAAGACTAACAGTTCCATACACGCATGAAATGGTTTGGTTGAAAGAAAAAATAGAACATTATTGGATATGGCAAGATGTTTACTGATAGAATCAAATCCACCAGGATATATGTGGGCTGAAGCTATTAACACATCTAACTATATAAGAAATCGATGCCCTTCAAAAGCTACTGAACACTTAACGCCATATGAAAAATGGACTGGAAGAAAGCCTTCAGTAAGACACTTGAAAGTATTTGGATCAAAAGTATTTGTATTAAACAAAGCTTCAAGAAAAGGAAAATTTTATCCAAAAGCGGAGCAAGGAATATTTGTGGGGTATGCAAGCAATTCAAAAGCATACAGAATTTGGATGCCACAACAAAAGCAGGTTAAAATTGCAAGAGATGTAAAAGTTCTTTCAAAAATTTACTATGAAAGAAATGAAGATGTAAATGATTACAAACTTCTTCAGCAAAATAAAATAAAAGAAAGTGATAAAAAAGATCAAGATTTTTGCATTATTCCGATCAAACAGAGCGAAAATAATGATGACCAGTCTGATTTTGACACTATATTTGAAGAAGAAAATGATAGTGAAATGGAAAATGATATTATTTTTGAAGATGATATTGAAAATCAACCTGATGATTCACCAAGCTCAAATGATATTGAAAATCAACCTGATGACTCACTAGGCTCAAATGAACATTTAGACACTGATGAAATAAGGGTATCACAGAAAAGGCAAAGAAAACCTCCTCTGTGGACAAAAGATTATCAAATGTCAGCTACCTGCAATGAAGATTCAACTTTAGAATCTTCAGAGGAATGGAATGAAGCAATAAAAGAGGAAATAAAAGCTCATTTAAAAAATGAAACTTGGGTGCTCGAGGATAGAAACAAAGAAATTAATGTAATTGGTTGTAAAATGGTATTAAAGAAGAAAATAAAACCAAATGGAGAGCTAGAAAGAAGAAAAGCACGATTAGTAGCAAAAGGATTTGCACAAAAACCAGGCATTGACTACGATGAAACTTTTTCTCCGGTAGCAAAGCTAAGTTCAATAAGACTTATGCTTGGACTTGCTGTTGAAGATGATCTAAGTATTGATCAAATGGACGTTTCAACTGCTTTTCTAAATGGAGAAATAAAAGAAAAAGTTTACATGGAAATTCCTAACAATTTTGAGAGATAACTCCAAGAAATAATGGTGGATGAGAGTGAAATGAAGATAAAAAACTATTCAACAAAACAAAGAAAATGATTACTGACTTAAAAAATTCTCAAAACAAAAAGGTTTGTCTACTAAAAAAGGCAGTTTATGGTTTAAAACAATCAGGAAGACAGTGGTATATGAAGCTTGATGAAAAACTAAAGGAACTGAAATTCACACCATCTCAAGCTGATCCTTGTATATACATTTCAACAGTAGGTGGATGCAAATCAATAATCTCTGTATATGTAGATGACATTTTAATTTCTACGAAGAACCAAAAGTACCGCAATTACATCAAAGCCCAGCTCATGAAAACTTTTGAAATGAGAGATTTAGGTGAACTAAGCTATTGTCTGGGGGTAGAGTTCACAAGAAAGAATGGAAGGATATCAATGTCACAAACAAAATACATAAATGAAGTCCTGAAAAAATTCAATATGACTGACTGCAAACCAGCTGTAACTCCACTAAAACCAGGTCTAAAATTGGCTAAAGGACATGAAAAAGATTGTAACTACCCATACCAAAATTTAATCGGTTCATTGATGTATTTGTCAATAGCCACAAGACCTGACATAACACATGCTGTGAGTTACCTGAGCCAATATAACTCTTGTTTTGGAAAAGAACACTAGATTGCTGCAAAGAGGGTTCTCAGATATTTGCAAGGCTCAAAGAACTTGTGTCTTGAATTTTTCAAA